AGAAATATTTATTTAATCTGAAAAACAACATTAAAAAAGTCTGTTTTTACAGCAGAGATGAACATGTTTACAGCTTGGTACAAAACAAACAAATAGGTGTGATTAGCTCATGTCTCGATGGACACACACTGTACGGGGGGTGAATGTTTTGATGACTCATCAGTTTTGATTTGATGAAGGATAAGAGTTATTCACAATAAGGCGTGTAGCTGACCAGCTTGACAGGTGGGCGCGGTGTAACGGTTTGTCAAAGGCTTAAAACCCGTCTCAGCTCTCAGCTGTGGGTGACATCACTCAGGCCATCCGGGGGAGACCTCCCTCACAGCGAGCTGTTGAAGAGAAGCAACGAAGTCCACCCCAGAAGAACCAACAAATACAGATGTTGTTGAGGCTCAGGTTTCTTCCTCTGTCTCTGCAGCTCTCTGGGCACCTCGACGGACCAGTCACCAATAATCCACACTGTGTCTATAGGAGAAATACAAAGGTGTTCAATTAATGCCTCAGACAAGACAAAATGTACAGTTAACTACATGTGACAGCTCAGGGTGTTTTTTTGTTATGAGCCACATCTGCAGGAATAATATTGAACAAGGTAGCTGCAACTCATCATAATAGATGCCAGTCTTAAACACTATTTTTTCTAATACTTAAAGTTTTTGGTGTGAAGCTGACACTGTCCACAGACTCCATGACTTCACGGGGTTCAATAGAAAACAAATGTCTTATAATAAATACTAAATAATTATTTTTCAATTGTCATGTTCACCTCATCGCATCAGTAAATATAAGACACAGACATTCCTCTTTTTGTCAGAACAGTAACATGAACTGTATGCTTTGTAATATTGATTTCTTCTGGATGTCTCATATTTATTTACAGTTTATGGATAAAACTTTGTTAATGTATTTCTCTGCTAACACTGACAAAGTCTAACTTCTCTAACAAATAACTCATAAACATAATTGTATATTTAAAAAAGTGTAGTTTTAAGACTTTAATTAAATATTTGTGTTGAATATAATTCGTTTTAACTGTGTTGTAGAAAAGTTAAATGTTAACTTACTGTTTATAGAGTTTTCTCAGGATGAGCAGGAATAGTTGATGATAGCAGCCTAGCTGTTAGCTATGCTGTCAAGTGGACTGCTAACGTCGAGCTGAATGGGCGGAGCTAAGTCCCGCCGGTCCCGCCTTACTGCTGTTGCTAGGTTGATCCGAAGTTAGGTTGAGACTGCAAATCCAATATGGATGCGGCCGTCGATTGGACTCATTTTCTGTCACAGACGGGTCAGGGTTCGTCCAGTAATATTTACAGTCTATGGGTAGGCCTCAATACCAGTGTTTTAATAAAATGGGACTTGGATGATATTTGATGACAATTATCCTTGCTGTAGATAAAGCAGGATATGTATTTTTGATGTGTTAAGTAATTTTCTGTGGTTGAAAAGCCATTGAAACGTTGATTTTTAGTTATGATTTCAACGTTGTTTCAATATTAATGAAGGGGGCAAAAGTGACGTTGATACAACATCAGATTTCAATGTTGATTCAACGATATTAACGTTGACACATTAACGTTAATTAAACGTTGTTTTAATGTGACTTTTATAGTTGTTACAGCGTTTAATGTTAATACAGGTGTTTTACTATATTGTAGTTTGTGTAGTGAAATATATCAATTACATTCACTGCATCATAACAAGGGTATTATTATAATCAGAGATGTTGCTGTGACACTATGGTTGTGAGGAGTGTAGTTCTTTTCCATGTTTCTTCTTAAAAGCTTTATATGTGATTTTTTGATCCAGCAGATGTCGCCCTTGAGCACCAGAATGAAACCAAAACAACTTGTGCTGCATTGCTGTGTTAGCATGCTAATGATAGTGATCTTTATTATGCTCGTATCTTCACACTGCATGTAAATTTACCTGAAATGAGCGTGATCTAGAAACACAGTTAAGCAGTGAGTACAGTATGTTATTCTTCTTTTCTCTAGTCCCTCAATTAAACAACTTTTATACACGAGGGGAGGAGTCAGCCGGCCAACAAACTGAAAATATAACTCTGAAAACATCACAGACAGTGGGACTCTGGTGTTACACCCATTGTAGACAGTCATGACTCACAGAGTTATTTTCAGAGGATATACTTGATTTATATTATATTTAAGTGTGAAAAATCATATAAAGCCTTTAAAAAGAGGTTGCTATCATACCAACTTGTGTGTTCTACATGAGCATACACCATCGTTTCACACTCAGGTAGCTCATGGTAAGTCTACCTTGGATAGTTAACTTATGATATACTTAATTCGTGCTTGCTTGAACCACACTGTTGAGCCCCTATAGTATGAGCACTTAAAGAGGCTGCCTGATGCCAGACCCTGGTAAATGTAAATGTATACAGTGGGGCCTGCACAATGACATTTCAACGTATGCACAAGGACGATTACAGAGTGATAAAGGAACAGCACACCAACACTTTACAGCCTACAACACCAAAACTCGGATAAAACACAAAGCCAGACAACTTCCACCAACTAAATATTGGGAGCAGTGTACAAGTATTAAGGGGGGGGGGGGGATTTGAAATATCAAAGCATGATTTTTATGCTGTATTAGTAGAGCATAATAATGAAACTTAATGTAATTATCTGTGTGTGTTATTTTAATAAAAGGTTTCGAAGCCGTTACGTTAACCGTGAGAAAATCTCGTAAAGGTACATTACAGATTGGACGAAAAATGCGACTCCGGTGGGACTCGAACCCACAACCTTTGAATCACTCCTCAAGTGTCTGACTAGAAGTCCAATGCGCTATCCATTGCGCCACGGAGCCACCTGTTGCACTTGCTAGCGCTTAGCATATTTAACCTTGTTATATGAAGTCAATCAGCTACTAGCTAGAGTTATGATAAGAGTTTTGATATTTAAACCACGACTTTATATCACGGCGTCACAATTGTTCACTAAGCCGTCAAAGAAGTTGGCAACCGAACACCTCCTTTCCGTTCGAGCCACTTATTTAAATATTATATGGATGGTTGTGGTTGCTTATTTTTTAAACATGTTTAGCGGTGTGTGTCGGTCTCTTTTACTTGCCTTTTGATGACTGAAGCTCCAGGATAGAAGCTGAAAACTGAAGCGTATTCTTTTGATAACACTCACTGTGTCAAGCAGTAAACGCAAACCCGTGACGACTTCCTCTTTGGCTGTGTATGCCTTCAAAATAAAAGCACAAATGTGTGAACGCGTCAACTATTAAAAGTCATCTTTACTTGTTGGCCTTGATTTTTTCTTTCTCTGCAAAGGAAAACTGCAGGGAGACAATACATTGAAGAGACACCAAAGAGACATATTCAAGATGGATTCGAACCAGCGCCGACAGAACAAAGACTTAATGTTGAACGATCATGTGGCGCCCCCTATCGTCCTAATTCATCCATCACTCCATCTGTTTAGTGTAGAGATTAAGTAAAAACAAATATACTCCACTTCGGCTGTAACATTAAACTGGCTTTATATCTAAAAGGTCTCTGCTATGATTTTAGAGTGACACAGTAAGTAGACATAGCATAGCTTAGACACAGATTGACACACAATAGGCCTACATCATTTAATTAAACAGTGAATTAGTTTAAAATGTGCCTGCGTAAGAATAGTTAGTAGGCTAAAGAAGGTCTCGTTGATATGCGATGTTTTTTTTGTTTTTTTTTTACTGTTTTTTGTTTGAGTAACTTGATATAGGAGTTTTTGATGCCTGGTCTTATTTTTTGCAGACTGTTGCTGATGGATCTGTTGGAGCAGATATATTTTATCCTGGAAAAACAAACAAACCGGAAGTCGTTGTGGACATTTCGTTTTTATGACCAAAGGCCAAATTTGTTTCTGGGATTATTATCGTAATTGACTGCCTGACCGTCGCCATTATAAGACTCCCTGAGTGAATCGCACAGTTAACATATTTTTTAATATACATGTTGCGTGTGGTTTATTTGGACGTCCCCGTAATCAGCTAATGGGTTAGGGTTAGGGTTAGGGTTACGCCATAAATGTACGTGTGTTCAAATAATTTTTCCATTTTCGCTCTCAGAAGAGCCCGGATAGCTCAGTCGGTAGAGCATCAGACTTTTAATCTGAGGGTCCAGGGTTCAAGTCCCTGTTCGGGCGTCAGTCTTTTTGTGATCCAGACAAGCTCAACATTGGAGCCCAGTGGTAACAAAACGTCTCTTTTCATCCCACGTCGTCAGATAATTTACTCTGTGAACACTTCTTTGGCGTCTCGTTCAGCGTTTGTTTTCTTCGTGTTAAAGGCTGAATCAGACGGTAATTTGATACGTAAAGTAGGCCTATTGAACAGAAGATCGTAGCCTAAAGGTTATAATTTTCCACACGGGCCTCGAACTCGAGCTCTTGTCTCCTTATGGATATTTAGAGAAACCGTGATTAAAATCAAACATGACTTTCACGATGCTACTTATTTGTCAGTAGTCTATTTTGAGGAAGTTGGGAGAAATAATTCCAATCATCAAAAAAGTTACTTTTATTTAGGTATCGTCCTATAGGCCTAAATATAAGAACCAGAGAAAACATATCTGTGCTTTGGTGTGGTAATTTTCCCCTACCTGGAAATCCACTTTATCTACTTAATGTTAATGGCCTTGTGCACATGCACAGCTAAAGGGGGCACACTATGTGCTCTCTTTGTTTCTTTGTTGGAGAAAAGGTCATCGTTGGCCCCCTGGTCACGTTGTTGCGGGAACAAGCAATAAACTACAGAAAAACTATGTATCCTACGCTTGAGCAAACAAGCCTGTGCTTGTAGGAGTGCAGTTTGCAGCTCTGTTGCTCTCTAGTCAAAGCCAAGCACAGTAACAAAACTATAGATGTTGGTACAGTTCTTGGTGTAGGCTACATGATATTACAGCAGATTTAAAAATGTTTTATATCCAGCACACTTTGTTTGTCAGATGGTCTTTAGTTGTAGTTTGGTGTGTTGCCTTGATGACTGAGACGTCCACTCTACAAGCAGAAGACAAACAGTCACGTCAGTCTGCTGGTGAGTACATTTTACTGGTGACATAGTTTACTTGGCAGAGGTGTTTTTTTTTTGTTATTTTTAAAGTGAAGTCTTTTAATAAAAATAAAAAAAGGCTTTTCAATCTTCATATCCCTTTTTGATAAACTGAAATTGCTATGCTACATGATTGAATTAAGATTATATTCCCGAAAGATTAGCCTATACTGACATGATGATTTTGTATATGCACATGAAGTAAATCATTACTCTGACAGGGATCCAAACATAACCTAGTTCATGACTGTGCAGTCTTTGTTAAGTACGGAGTCCTTTTATCACTGTGTAAGACCTAAAACAAAGTTTTTCTTGTTAAAGAGAAAGTAAATACAGGAAGTTGAGGTTCCTGGCCTATTGATTTTTTAAGTACTCATCCTAAACTAGCAAAGTGCCTTTTGTCTCTGCATTTTTCCTGTCCAAAAAACAGAGCACCAGAGAGGACCTCTGTGTATACTGACTGATGATTATAGCAGCCAAACGGACTTGAGTGGATTCCCGAAATGTAAACTTTGAAAACAAAAACACTGGCTCACTTCCTTTTAAACACAACTGAAAAATATTTAGAGATACAATTTCAAGCAAACATGTAACTCAACATTTACTTCTAAACGAGGTAAGTAAATAAAAAATCAGCCTCAAATAAATGAAAAAATATAGGCAGACTGGTATGCATGAATGTATGAGTGCATGTAAAGCATTCCAAACACAAACTTTAACATGTTTTGGTATTTCTTCTGAGGTAGTAACAGAGGCGTTTTGTGTTTGTGCATGTCAGACTGTGTGTGTATGTGGACCTTATGTAATGGACTGGGACACCAATATTACAGTGTCCTGGAAACAATAGGAACTGTTAGAACCCTCCCTCTTTTTCAATTGATTTGAGAACTATATTATGACTTTATTCGTATACATCTTTATTTTCGTTAAATATGACTTTATTCTAGAGAGATAACCTCTTCATTCTTTTACAACTTTTTTCTTGAAATAATTAAATTTGAGTAATTCTGACTTCTTTCAATATTAAGACTTTATTCTTGCAATTATACACTTTTCTTCTCGTACAACATTGTTTTTCTCGAAATAGTACAACTTTTTAGTCTCTTACACTTTTATTTGTGTGATATAACTTTATTCCCATAATATCAGAAATTTATTCTTAAAATCTCAGATTGAAAAATGCAGCCTTAATGTTTTGAAATGTTTTTTTCCCCATGTATTTCTTTGCCCTTGTAAAGCACTTCAAATTGCATAGCTTCTGAAGACTATATATGAGTAAACTGTCCTTTACTTCTTTGTTCAGCGCATAAGGACGCCAGGCTGGTGGACGGTGCCGGCAAGTGCTCTGGCAGGCTGGAGATAAAGTGTCAAGGAGAGTGGAGAGCTCTGAACATCAGGAACACAGGCAGACAGCACAGTTTCTGGTATGCAGAAGTCGCATGCAAGCAGATGGGTTGTGGCTCTACAGTTTCAATAACACAAAGCACCAACGTGACAAATCTACCAGCATGGGAGGTTGACTTCGTGTGCAAGGGCTCTGAGTCCACCCTGAAGGAGTGCAGAAATCACAGAACACGAGGTATGCAGAGGAGAGTAAACTCTACCTACAGTCTGCAGGTGATCTGCTCAGGTAAAACAAACACGTGTTTAAAATCATTTGGTATGTCAGTTATGTCAAACATTTTAAATGTATCATTACCTTTTAATTTACATTCTTTTTTTAGACAAAGTTCTTCCCAAAATCTTATCACAGTTTATTTGTAATACCTTTCAGAGACCTGTAAGGGTACTGAAAACATTTGTATTAAGCCTTTTAACATTGTGAGTCTGCAACAGCGCTGTAACAAAGCTCTCTGCCCTCACTATGCCTTTGTGCTATAATGTTAGCCCCTTTTTACATTGCCAGTTCAAGGCAGGAGTTTTAAGCCCCTGTTACATCTCTGCATGCCGCTGCATCTTATTCTTCTCTTTGTTTTCAGAGTCTTTGAGGCTTGTCGGGGATTCAGAAATCTGCTCAGGAGGTGCAGAGGTGAAGTCTGACCAGGGTTGGGATTCAGTGTGTGAGGACAGCTTCGACTCTGAGACTCAAAAGATGTTCTGCAGGGAGCTTGGCTGTGGTCCTCCACAGAACTTTCGTCGGAGGTCACCAAAAATAAATCCCTCCTTATTCAAACAGTTCCAGTGTAAAGGCAACGAGTCCCGTCTGGAGGACTGTGTCAGTTTCATGAAAGAGGAATGCAGACAAGCCGCTGGAATAACATGCTCTAGTATGTATGCACTTATCATCATTTTATCCCCTTTTACAGCATTAATGCAAACGTATAACAGAGGTATCTACACAAAGGGTTGCATGTGTAGGCTACCTACAAACTCTTGATATTGATAGCAAAGCCCTGACAGCTGAACTTTGATGACATATAATGTGTGTATTTTACTTCTTTAATCCAAATTTGTCAGCTGACATTGTGAAACTTTGTGAAAGCTTCCATGAAGAAGTACGTGTTAACACTCTTGTCTCTGAGCAGAAGAGACCGATCTGAGGCTAGTGGGAGGAGAGACTCTCTGTCAAGGCACACTGGAGGGAAAGCAGGCTGCAGAGTGGAGGCCTCTGGAGGATGGCTGGAATTCCTTGAAACCAGAACACTTTGCCAAGGTTTGTGGGAAGATGGGATGTGGAGGTTTCATCTCAGTCTCAAGGAACTATCTTCCAGAGCTTCGACCTGTGTGGCTGACTGACTGTGAGACGAGTTCCTCATTTTGTAAGTCATGGAGGGGGACTAGTTCAAACTTAGTCCTGGCTGTGACTTGTGAAGGTAATGGTTAAATGTATCTCTGTGTCTATTTGTCTATCCTTTTGTCCATACTCTATGATAGATCATTATTTACTTTGTTACTATAACAGAACTCAGAGCAATATGGCAAATGAAGGTAACGTGATTATAACTCCAACTCTATATACCCTATTATTTTACCCCAGACTGAATGAAGTATGCTCAGCCTTTTGGTTTCCAAAGTCAAGCCAAAGCCGATAAAACTAGTACTTTTTTAATGGCCACCAGGGGGAAGTTCCTCTGGTTTTAAAAACAAGTCTGATTATATAAGTCTATGAGATAATGAGCCTACTACGTACATGATGTATTATTTTACCTCACAGTTTCCTCATCAGTAATTGGCAACATGTCCAACGTGCCCTTAGGCAAGACACGCTCCAGCTGCTTCATCGGCGGCATGTGAATCTCTACGAATAAAGCACCTTAGCATAACTTGTACATTGTTGTTAGGCAGATCATAGGATGGATAGAGTTCTGGATCAGTGACAATGTTTCCTGCCTCCACATCATAAAACCTCCGCTCTAGCGGTGCATTGGTTATAAAGACTAGTCAATCAGCTGTGACTGCTGCAGTCATTCTTTAGATTAAAAAGCGAGTTGCGTATCTTCTAATCGATGGAAATATGATCAATCTCACACTAACCTTGTTAGCTTTCTCTTGTCATTTATTGTTTGTACCTGCACTCATTAGTATATTATTGATTTCTGCTTTTTATTAGACCAGTGGTGAGTTTAAGTTTGGTTTCCAATTCATTTAATTACTGTTTAAACTAATGGGTGTGATCTGCTTTTAATTTCAAAACCTTATGTTTACAAGGTTAAAGGATTTGTTTTTTGTAATCCAGGTTACAGTTAAAGACGACTGTGTTTAACTGATGATGATGAGCTGATTTAGAACTGCTCTGTTAACAGTGAAGACGTCTTCCACTTGACTTCCCCCTTCCTCCACAGAGGATACGACGCTCGTGAAAGGACCCAACAGATGCTCAGGAAAACTACAAGTGAGGTCCGGTCAGTCGTGGCATCCAGTATGTTATTCTTTCTTCAGCTTGGAGGCGGCACTCGTTACCTGTAGAGACCTGAAGTGTGGTTTCCCTGAGAACGACAGGAGTACTAACTTCACCAGAAGTCCTGTGTTGAACTGTGCAGGAACAGAGAAGCATCTGAGGGATTGTCCCTCCACGCCGATCAGCGCCACGGAGGAGATGCTGCAGGAATGTGATGAAGTCTCCTTGACCTGCACAGGTAATAATCAAGGTTCTTTTTTATTACTCTGTATTTTGCTAAAACAGAAGGAATAAAATAAGACAAAAATGTAAACAACTAATAGTTAATACGTGGATTATTTGATATTGTGCCCTTGCAACAATAGGCAAATTTACAAACGTTAAGCAGGACATTGGATTAGAGGTTGTTATTGTTTTTATTGGGATGAAATGCTCTTTATGACTTGTTGCAAGAAGGAAGCTGGTTTATAGACAATATTATCCTATTTAAAGATTTTACAAAAAATTTATAGTTTGCACTCAGGGGCCCTGGATTTTAGTGTGGAAAGAGTTCTTGTTTCCTTTCATAGCACTGTAATCCAAATAGTATTGACCAATCACATGTCACATATTAGGTGTATGCAGGAAAGCCGTCTGTATGGAAAGTCAGAATGTCAGTAATCAGACGATGATTTATTTCTCTCTATAAAGCAAGTGCAGCTAACAATCCGTGCTAGATCAAAAGTTTTAACTTGAGCCACAGCTCTGCTTGACGCTGTGTCATGAAAGCAATCAGCGTTTAGGTTTCCTTTAGGTCAGAAATGATCGATTCCAGCCTCCAGTCAACAAACAAATGCTTTCTTTTCTTCTCCTCTTGAGGGCAGACCTGACAAAGCATGCATTTTAATTTTTTTTAGAAATCTGCATCATGATGTTATTTCAGCAAACTTAAGAACCGTTAAATGAAAGTAAATCACATTTTCTTGGCCCTCATAACGCTGAAATAAGCAAAGAGTGAAGCCTCTGTGAAAATGACTAGAAATAGTTCAAATGAATCTTTGCAGGAACAGAGAAATCGGCAATTCTATGGGGGATTCACTGAACCAGGAAAATGACCAGTTATTGTACAGCCGTAACTTGAGGGCTGAATTTTGCTTTGCTTTCAATCGGAGCACATTAAATAGTTCTCAAGTTGCTCATTGGACTGTAAACATTGCAGCACAGATATTTAAGTATGCCCATCGTTCCCGGAAGAATGTTTCGTCGTGAGTCAAAAGCCAATGAAACCTCACGATCAGTTAGAAAAAAACCTGCCTGTCCCAGACAATGACTGTACAGACTCGGTCTCCAAATGTCAGCGCCCATCATGGGACCTCTGTGTGGCTCTGTGAATGTGGAGAACATCTGAGCTGTTGAAGAAGAAAAATCAAATACAAATCTGATGCTATGTCAAATATTGTTTTCATCAGGTAAGAACACAGTCTTTGTGCATTATTTGCAAATAATCTAAGTTGTCTTGTTTTTCTTCTTTTTTAGAACTTCCACCAGCACCATACATCAACATTCACAATGTGCAAGGATCAGAATTTGTGTCTACATATCCGCCAAAGGTTTTCAAGGGCCATCGCTTTGCCATCTCTTGCACCGTGGATTCACCTTACAGCGTCCTTTCCATCCGCCTGAAATCTCACATTGGCACTGATCACCCCAACGAGTGGATCCAGTCACCTCACGACAAGAAAGCCGTCTTCATCTTTCCTGTTGCTGAGGATGCACACCAGGGAACCTATCAGTGCGATTACAACTTCAATTTCAGTTCAGACATTTTCTCACAGCCGAAGTTTATCTCCGTTCAAGTGGAAGGTAAAAACCTCCATTTTATCAGTGCAGCATATTAGTGTCCAGTTCGTTTCCATGGAGGCAGTGGAGGGTAGTATAAATAAATAAAAAAGAAAATAAATCTGTAAAGTATTTGGAAAAGACAGGAGGAGTTTATCTAGGACTTAATTAATGGATACAAAGATTAGTACGTGTAAAGAGAGTATGGGAATTAATGTGAATTCAAACTTTGATATAAAGAGAAAACAAATATTACGGGATAACTGTATGGCTGTTTTCAAAACCACATACTATACTACTAGTACATACTGATTTGGCCAAAATGCAGTATGCAGAATGCAGTATGCGAACAACTGCGAGATCCGCAGTATGCCAAAAATACCAGGATGTCATACTGATTCTGGAAAAATGTACAGTATGCATCAGACCAGTCTACCTCGCGTACTGTTTCCCACAATGCAAAGTGCCAGGTCAGAGATCAAAATGCCAGAGTGCAGCTGTTTGAACTTGTCGGTGGCGGTGACTGAATATCTTGCCACATTATGAACCAATAACAAATATGACATGTTCATATATTTAGTCTTACCACCTCGGATTTTCCTGCTTTGTAGACTGTACAGTGCCACAGCTTGACCAGCAGCTGCAGTTACAGGGTCCTTGGCTCGCTCTATTACTACATATTATTCACAGCTGAGTAAAAGTTAAACCTGAATGTCTGAAAAGTATACTACAACTTTAATAGCATGCCAATCATATTTCAACCCAGGGCATTGTGTATAAATGACAGAAGATATGAGAGATTGTTTTGTTTTAATTATGTTAATTACCTCCAGATGGGCTGTTGTTTACTTCAGCATTCCTGGACCGGAAACCAGTTTAACCGTGCCAAAGCTTACTGCAAAATAACCCACGACTGGCAGTCATACTACATACTACTGTTGAACTCAGTATGCAGTATACACTATATATACAATATACTGCATACTGATTTAGATAGTAGTATGTGGTTTCGAAAACTGTGTTTTCTGCTAATGTATTATTTTATTTATTAACTACGCTGTAAATCAACCGGCTTTTGGCAAGTCGTCATTGTGACAAGATAAATGATTTATATAAGAAGGCATATATTTAAATGTTCTGTCAAAACTTGTTAACATCTGTTTGTAAAAAAAGTTCTTAATGTTCCCACAAGATAATTATGTGAGATATTATTGTGACTGATGATTGATTCACAGAGCTGAACAACGTCCGGCTGGTGAATGAGGAGACGGAGTGTGCTGGTAGACTGGAGCTGGAGGACGAGGGCGAGTGGAGGCCCGTGAGCCATCGTCACTCCTGGAGTCTGAAGGAGGCGGCTGTGGTGTGCAGGCAGCTCGACTGCGGCTCCGCTGTCTCCACCCGCAGAGTGGAGCGATCCGCTGGACTTCAGCACGCGTGGCGCTTTTATTCTGACTGCGACGGCTCTGAACGTGCTCTGACGGACTGTGGGACGGTGAAGAAGTGGCCGTCCTCTTCCGCTGTCCAAGTCGTCTGTTCAGGTGAGAAACACTCAGCTGATGATGAAACTGAAATATAGCATTAACAAGACTTCTGTTGTTACAAATGTTAGTGGGTTTACAACTCTTAAAAAACAGGCGCTGCTTCATAACACGTTTGGAACGCACTTTTAAACTCTTCAATCTTTTGCCCTTCTGCATTATACAAACATTTTAATCAGCTCTGCTCACATCTCTAATGTTTCTGCATCTTTTTTTTTTCCTGCAGGAATCCTCCTTCAACCGAACATTTCTCTCTTCTATACGATGCGTGAATTGTCAGACTATCAGCCGCGGAACATTTTGCTCTCCAAAGGCCACGGCTTCAGTGTCACCTGCTCTGTGAAGCCACAATACCCCGGAGGCTACTTCAGCATCCGCTTCAACCAAGCTATCAGCATCTCCCAACCAGCTGTCAATCACACGGCACACTTCATGTTTCCAGCAGCAGACGAGGCTCACACAGGGACCTACAGCTGTGTTTATGTCAACTTTGTCTTCAGTCACAACTTCTCTTCTGAGAGTCAGAGCTTATCCGTCAAGGTGGAAGGTAGATCATCCCGTTAATGTTAACATATTTATTTAACTTGTGTTATTTGTCTGAACTAACCTCTGTGTTTTCTAGCAGAGTTCCTGGAGGTGAAGTTGGTTGATGGCGTGCTCAGAGAGGATGACAGCGAGTTCTGTGCCGGCAGACTGTTTGTGAAATACTTGAACTCGCTTCTGCTCCTGAGCGCAGAGACGACAGTGTGGGACATGAAACATGCGTCTTTGGTGTGCAGACAGCTCGGCTGCGGCTCTGCAATTTCAACCAAAGACATCAAACTTCCCAAAAAAGAATTGATGGCACGTTTCTTCTCCGACTGTGATGGATCTGAGTCTGCGCTGCTGGGCTGTGGGACTGTGCTGCCGTGGTTTTCGTCCTCTGCTGTTGAGCTGGTCTGCACAGGTGAGACATTAAAGACTCCCAAGTTTTAGTTGTTTTACACCAACCCTAGACTGCATAGAAGAAGTAGACGTTGCCTCTTTGTTTTTCAAAAGTGAAGTCGATGTGTATTTACATTATCAGTTTTCTTTCTATTAGCCAGCGAGGTCAGGACTAACTTCTTGTTAAAGGGTGATTGATAACTAAATGAACATTTCACTCTGATCATTGATTCTGTTGATTAATGAGCCGGAAAACACGTGTCTGTTTCTGCTGCCTTGCTGTGTGTGTTACTCTTACAGTCCCTGTAGGAAGTTACAATCTGCTAAGATTGTAGCAAATCTTAGAAAATTGAATTGAATCAACCAATCAGGTGTCTTTTGTGTATATGAGTTATATTAGGCTACTTCATGCAATATATGACAAAATGATTCTCTCAATTTCTTTACTTTTTTCCAAGGTGATGATACAGTCCGGGCAGATTGGGGTTCCTAGGGCGCTAAAATAGCTGAAGCCTTTGTCCTGATACTTTATAATAACTTTTTTTTTTTTTTTTGCTGAATCTCTTCAGGCCATCAGGGCGGAGCAGACAAGAACTGAGGATATGAAGGTGGACAGCAAAAACCTGAGTGCTACCTGAATGTAGCCTGCAGAGAGGAAAAGGCAGCAAGATGCTAACAATCTATATAACGTTACTGTTTTAACAGAATTATATCTTTAACTTGTGCAGGCATAAAAAAAATATATATATATATACTCTACCGGTCAAAAGTTTTAGAACACCCCAATTTTTCCAGTTTTTTATTGAAATTCAAGCAGTTCAAGCCCAATGAATAGCTTGAAATGGTAACAAAGGTAAGTGGTGAACTGCCAGAGGTTTAAAAAAACAGTAAGGTTACCCTAAACTGAAAATTAATGTACATTTCAGAGTTATACAAAAATGCCTTATACAGGGAACATGAAATTGGTTAACAATGGAGGTTGATCAAGCCTTGAAAGTTGGTGCTACCAATTCCTACAGGTGTCCCAACTTCCCTTTATTACTTACAACCCCCCCTGTATGCATAAAAGGAGTGTTGGAACACACTGTAGCATTATTTGAACATTATTGTTCTTCAGAAAGTTGTGTGTTGCTATAAAAATTGCAAGAAAAATGCAATTAACAATGGAAGATAGACAAACCATCATGACACTTAAAAATGTAGGTCTTTCCTACAGAGAAATTACGAAGAAAGTCAAGGTGTCAGTGAGTACAGTTTCCTTCACCATCCAGAGGCATGCAGAAACTGAGAGAAACTCTGACAGGAAGAGGTCTGGCAGACCCAAAGACACAACAGAATCAGAAGACAAGTTTCTGAGAGTCAACAGCTTGCTTGATAGGCGGCTATCAGTGCAACAGTAGTCAATGATGGTCGTAGTAAGCAAGCCTCAGTTTCAACTGTGGAGAGAAGACTTCAAGCTGCAGGTTTGACAGGCAAGTTGGCAGCAAGAAAGCCATTGCTGAGATGTCAGAATAAGAAAACGTGGCTTGCTTGGGCCATGAAACACCGCCAATGGACCACTGAAGACTGGAAGGTGTTATGAACTGAATTTCAAAATTTGAAATCTTCGGTTCATCATGCAGGATTTTGAACGCCGTTGAGTAGGCGAAAGGATGGTTCCTCAGTGTGTGACATCATCAGTCAAACATGGAGGAGGAAGTGTAATGGTCTGGGGCTTTTTTGCTGGT